CTATCCTTCCACCCCTGCTAACCACCATTGTACTTTCTGCCTCTATGAATTTGGCCTCCTTAAGTACAACAAATAAGTGGAATCATACAGTGTCTTTTTGTGACCGGCTTATTTCACTTAGCATAATGTCCTCAAGCCTCACCCATGTTGTAGCTATCCCATTCTTGATAGAGCATCTCTCCACTGCTTCTTCTAAATGACAGAAGGTGACTTGCACCTCGTTTTTCTCTCCTCCAAGAGGGTAGGAGGAAAACTTAGGCCATGGGAGAAAAGTGTCTTGTCCAAGGACAAACAAGAAAGCTCAAGAGAGTGGAGAAAATTAGACGCCCAGTTCTCTGCTCCCACCTAGAGCTTGCAAAGCAAAGGCAATGTCTGAGAGTGTGGAGAGTCCCTGTATGCACTGAACGGCCTTGAACATAGCTCTTTATCTTCTCAGCCTCAGTTTCCCCTTTGCTTAAATAGATATAATAAAAACTGGCTTTCCTTTCTCAAAGGGTTGTTGTAATGATCAAATGTGGTTTTTAAATGCTTTTAAAAGTATAACACCCTGTGCAATAACAGAGTGTGGCTGAAAATCCAGAGTCTGTTAAATTATAGCAGCAGCTCATCATGTTAAATCATAGCAGTATTCCTGTCACGACAGCACACAATTAAAACAATTGGGGTTAGGAAGCCATGCAGGTGAAGGTGAAGGGTTGCAGCTGAGTGCATCTGGCCACAGCTACTCTACAGCGGGCATTGAAGATTCATGCCATAGCACAATCACTACGTGCTGCTATTTAGTTCATTCATTCGTTCAGAAAATATCTATCAAGGGCCCATTCTGTGCGTGGCATCGTGCCAGGCACTGGAAACAGAGAACAAGGTAGACTAAGTCTTGACTTCATAGAGTTTGCAGTCTAAAGGTAGGGACAATCATTAAACAAATAGTCACATAAACAAACACATGATTACAAGTTATGACAAGAGTCATGAAAGCAGAGAACTGGGTGCTATGAAAGCAGCTCATCGTGTTAAATCATAGCAGTATTTTGCCTACTATACCGCAGGCATTGGGAAGGCCTTTCTGTGAAGCAGCATTAAACCTAAGACCTGAACTGAAGAGAAGCAGTGTAATTGGAGTTTTGTTAACAAGACAGAGTGTCCAGTTGCCCTGAGTCTGTATTATACACTGTGGAGGAATTGTTATCTATTGTTACATCATCTAATATAACTGTTACAGATCACTGCTGTAGAGTAGACTGCAGTTGCCATATATTGTTTCTGTAAACTTCAGTATAGGCCCTACATGCTCTTACCATAAACCATAGTCTAGTACCATACATAGTAGTCTAGTTAGTCAGTGTTACTGCTCTTTAACATAAAGAGCAAGGTATAGTAGCCATCTACTACTATTAAATATAAGAGTATCCCTTCTCTGTTTTACTATAAATACCATGGTATAGGTACTTATATTACTAAATACAAACTTAGCGGATGAAATCTGGGAACTCTCCCTGACTATTCTTCCTGGATTGGATTATATCCTTCTTTAAGGTGGGGGAAGGAGGAGGAGGAGGGGGAGGAGGAGGAAGAGATGAAAGAATAAATTTTTATTTAGAACTTACAATATGCCTAGCACTGTGCTTTAACTGGATTGTCTCACAAAAGCCTCACAACCCAACTCTTTAGTATCTCCATTTACAGATGAGAAGAATGAAGCTCAGTGAAGCCATGTAATTTACCGAGGTCATATAGCAAGTAGGTGGCAGAGCAGAACTTAAAATCTGAGCTGAATGACACCTAAGTCTATGTTCTCAACCACTGATCTTCGCTCCCTCCAACGCCCCTGCCTTTCCTTCTCCTGCTGCAGAAAACTGGCCTGCTGAACTGTCTCTCCCGACAGCAGAGCAGGGGCCTCGGGGCAGGCCTAGGCAGGCCTGTCTTCTGTTCTACTCCCAGGGTCCCCTGCGTTTGGTGCTGCCGGTAGGGGGAGTGCAGGATAGCTGGGAGGAGCAGGGGCCAGTTTAGCAACACCTGCTTCTCAGCCTGCTCCTCACAGGCCACAGACCTGAGACAGATGATTTAACTCCTCTGAGGCTTAAGAGACTGTGCAGAGGGAGATGCTGAAAGAATGAAAGTCAAAGAGCATAAGAGAGAGGCGGAGACCTGGCCATCTGCCTTCTGACCTGTTTCTAGCAATTTGATCAATTCTCATGAGGTCTGGCTCTGTTTATTGCCATAGAATTCTGAGAATCAACCAATCTACCATCCTCCCTTCTTTCCTTCCCTCCCTCTTTCCTTCTGCTCCTCTCTCCTTCCTTCTTTCCCTCCCTTCCTCCCTCCTTGACTTCCTGCCTTCCCTGTCTTCCTTTCTGCCTTCACTCCTCCCTCTATCCCTCTGCCACTGTTCCTCCTGTACTCAAGCTAGTTTGAGTAGATTTTTATTATTTGCAAACAGAAAAATCTTAACAAAGTCTCTCCTTCGTGGAGTTGTTGTAAGGATTAAATGAGATCAGTGCGTGACTGCTTGACAGGCCATTAGGTGGGCAAGCAGAATTCTTGGGGTGGCATTTCCCAAATGTGTTTTATAAACCCTAATGCTGGCGTATGGGGAGGTGTGGACCCCCGCCCACTAACCTTTGGAAAACATTGAATACTATATTCCCCTCTTGAAATTCCCTGTGTTTATCAGCGTATTTAAAATTCTGAAAAGTCTGATTGGAAAAGGACATGTTTAACTTTGCTTAACTCCATGTTTCCCAAACTTATTTGAACTCTGAATTCTTTTTTCCTCTATAATGTGTTGGCAAGTCCTGCCAAACTGTGGAAATATTACTGTAGAGAGTAGTGTTACTCTGGGAGGGGCTGGCCTAGGGGACTTCTAAGGCACCTTGAAGCTCTCAATTCTGAGCATTTATTATTATTTTTTATATTCTCCAAAGCTATAGTAATGAATTCTCATGATTGATAAGCTCTCTGTTGCACTCAGAGCTGTTTTAGCAACAGGATTAATGCCTGTAGTTAGAGATATTTTCCAGCTCTCATAATGAGAGTCACATATTCTCACTTAGGAGAATGTTGGAGGTTGAAACTTCAGTATGAAACCATTTCTGAGGCTTGGAGCTCTTTTATCCTGAAGTCCTCAAATCACAAAATCTGGAGCTTGAAGACATGCAGGCAGCATCTAGTCCCCCATCACCATGCTGCAGACCATCTGAAGCCCAGAGGAGGAAGGCATTTTGGCCAAGGTCACAGACCTCTTTTGAGCTAGTCGTTCCCTGGACAGCAGATTATGACATAGACAAGTGTGTGGAGTGGAAGTATTGACCTCTCTGACCACTGCTGCTCTTGTAATTAAACAGAAATGCTAACATAAATTAAATGGTCTTTCCCCCATCATTATCACTAACAGTGCATTCTGTCCAGGGAAGGTGGAAAGGCATTGCTCTCAGGCCTGCAACAAGCCATAAAGCCTGCAAATGCTAATGAACCATCACTTCAGCCAATTAAAAATGGAATCAAAACTGTCTTTAATGAAAGCTTCATGCATCCATGGACTCTGTTTAACTCATACCCAGGGGTACCAGGAAACCCCTGTGGACTCTATTGCCATGCTCTTGAAAAGTAGTAAACCAACTCTGAGTGAAATGAGCCTGCCTGGGTATCAGGAGATCTGGTTCTCTGAGCTCAGCCACTGACATAGAGTAAGTCCTATCTCATCTCTGGGCCTCAGTTTCTTCATCAGTAAAGTCATTCCTCTCATTCTCTCATATCCATCAAACACTTTTTGAGCATCTACTATGTGCTGTCCCTGCTGCTAGGCACCAGGGACACAAGACCATTAAGCTTCAGTCCCTACCCTCCAATGGTTCTAAGTCTAGTGGAGGCCACACAATAGGATTAGACTTGTTCAATAACTATGCCTGTGGGAGCTCAGAGAAGGGAGTGGTCAATTCTTTTGGGGGTTTGGAAGAACGTTTCTCAGAAGAAGGGACACGAGCTAAGTTACAAAAAGAGTTATTGAGATGGAGAAGGAATGAGGAAATGCTGGGCAAAGGGCAGCCTGTATGAAGGTAAGGTAGCAGGAACCAACAAGCCATGTCTGGGGAACTGGGCTTTGCTCAGAGTAGCTACACCAACAGTTCTAGGAGGGAAGGCTGAGACGTGAGGCAGAATGGTGGACAGACAAGCACCAGGTTGTGCAAAGCCTTGCACGCAAAGCTAGGAAGTGTGGGTTTTATCTTGAAAGTTGTGGAACTGATCAGCTCTAAAGCTGTATAATTTGGGCAGTGAAGCTAGACAGTCCATGACTTACTGGCTGTGTGACTTTGGGTGAGTCACTTCCCTTAACTGTGAAATAAGGACAATAACACTATCTATCTCAAAAGATTCAGTGTTCTTTTGGCAGATGATCTTCTGGTGGTAGAATTTTAGTCTATAAATTATGGTGCTAATACAGGAGAAAGGAAGTTCAAGACTTGAGTGCATGACTGCGTGTGGGGCCAGCTGCTATGTCCACACCAAAGAGAAATGCTGTTCAGATGACCTGGAATGCCACTTTCTATAATGAGCTCCAAGAAGAAACACAGCAACAAAACAGAAATCATTACAACCACCATATGTGCAAAGCACATTCCTCCCAGCGTTTCTTTTGATGCTCACAACTGCCCTGCCAGGTAAGTAATTATTGTCTCCATTATGCAAGAGAAACTGAGTATCAGAGAGGGAAAGTGAATTCCCCAAGGTTACACAGAAAGTAGGTGCCAAAACTGATACTAGGTTTCCCGATTCCTGGTCCAGTGAGCTGTCCAGAAAACCTCAGCCAGTGTCCTCAGGTGGCTATGCATGAAACTGCCAAGGCTCATGAACCACATTCTTAAGAGCCAGGGTGAAACTTCCTCTAATGAACTCATAGGTAGCTTAAAAATTCTTCCTCAAAAATATATCTTGCATTTCTTCTTGCTTCTATACCACCATCCTGTGACTACATGCTTCCAAGCATTCTCCCTGTCTCTCACCTGTAATTGCCCAGGTAGACGCCATCAGGGTTGAGCATTGGTGCAATCTTGAAGACCAGGTGTTCCCGTAGGACACGGGCAATGGGATGCTGGCTTATGAGGAAGTCAATGATCCCTAGGGAAAGAGAAGAATGCGGTTTAACCTCAAAGTGTTTCAAGAAGGAGGGAGCACATTTTTCTCAGTTTAGAAAACAATAAGAGGTCAGTGGGTGACTTTTGGCCTGTGTTGTTATTGGCTACTGTGGATGTGTGGCTGTGGTCTAGGTGTTAGTGAATTTTACAAATACATCTCTGTTTCCAAGAGAGAGGCAGCTCAAGACATAACATGGAAGCCCACGGGCAGGTGGGAGAGGGCATCTCCTGCTGGAGAGAGCTGGGAAGGCTTCCAAGAAGATGGCATTTGAGCTGTACCTCAGATGGTCCACGAGGTTTCGACAGACAGATGGGGGAGAGAGAGTAGCTTAAGAGATGGTCTCTAGTGGACACACTGTTAGCTGAACATTGACATCAGACCTGATGATCATAGTGTCAAGGACGTTAGGGATCTAGATCCTTATATTTCTGTGACCAAGAAGCAGAGAGGAGAAGGGATTTGACCAAAGTCACACAGGGAGAGGGAGGTTTCTTTAATGTGCTCCAACTCTTCTCCTTTCCCCATTTTGAGGGTCCTCTGTCCCAGGACTCCAGGCCGACTGCCCTCTCTGCTTCTCACTGGCACTAAAACCACCCTGAATCCAGGTCACCAAATTTGGAAAAGTTGAATTTTCCATGACCTTCTTCCCACTGCCAGGCAGTCCCCATGCTCCTCCCTTGAGTTGAACAAATCTGCCCCTCTTCTCCACTCTGCCTGTCTTCTGATCCAGGCCACCATCACACCTGGCCTGGGTAACAGCCACCACCTGTGGGATGTGCCCTCTTCACTGCAGCCAGAAGGATCTGACCCTGTCACTTCCTCCTTGATATTCTTCTGGGGATGGCTGGCATCTATCGATGGGAGGGGGTGAGAAAACAAACAGCTCTGAGCCCTTGTTGCCCCCTTATCTTCTCTACATTTCTACTTCTTCATCAGAGACCTGAAACAATGGGCAAAATGGCGCTCTAGCACTCTGCGAAATGACTCTAATGCCACAAAGTGACAGGAGAATGCAAAACCCTCCCAAAATGCAGAAGTGAAACCTCTTTCCTGATGGAGAGAGCAAGAAAGGCATTAAGAAGAAAGCTTTTGAGTTTGTCCCCAACAGAAAGTCAGGTTCCAATGGACGGAGGAGGAAGGAGCAGGGAAACTAAGAACAGCCCACATGGGACTGGCAGGCGCTTAGCTCTTGGAATGATAACCTGCTGCAGAGCATGTTCCAGTGCTGCTGTGACCAGAGAGGGACACGTCAGGCTTTTCATTAGGCCAGGGCTGAGAACCCATCGGCAGCCGCAAGCCAGTTGGACATCATTTGCTTCTCAGCCGACGCGGCAGTGGACCAGATGCCCTAATTTATTTGTTGGTCCTCATATTAAAGCCACAGTTTGCCAGTAAACAGGCAGGGTAATGATGCCAGGCACCCTTGTTAGGGGCTAATAATTGCTTAATCTGTCCACTAATTGACCCCGGCTCCCGGGGTGGCACTCCATCAAGGAGCCAGCCTGCGCTCGGGGCCTGGCTGCGCTGCCTCGGAGAATGGCTTCTGGAAATGGAGTAGCTCATTGTGATCCATCCTCCTTCACAGATGAGCAGATTAATTGGGCTGCCAATTAGACAGCTAATAAAAGAATGAAAGAAAACAAAGCCAGACCAGAGGCTGCAGATGCCCAGCGCTCCCTCTCCCAGGATGGGTGTGGGGCGAGGAGAGGAAAGTGTTAGACCCACCGCTTGGCTTGAGGTCAGATACGATTCAGCAGGAATTGTTCCCACTGATCAGGAAACTGGGAAAAGATCTTTCCTTTTTTGAGGGGTGGTGGGGGAGGGTGGTAAGTGGAGAGGAGTATGAGGAAGAATGTGGGAGAAGTAAGAGTGGAGAGGAAATGCTATGCCTGGCCATGGGCCAAATCGTTGCATGGACCAAGGGAACAGATGGGCTTGGGAACTGCATTGGAGTCTGAACTGATTATTCGCTGCGGAAGTTACTCATGAGCTTTCTCTGACCAGTTTTCTCTTCTTGGTGCAGGGATGGTAATACCTAATCTGGAAGACTGCTGTGTGACTAGGTTAGAGATCCTTCTTAGCTGCCTTATGCAGCACCTGAAAATTGTGACATGCTCCAGTAAACTCTCTTAAGTCAAAAGTTGAAAGGCGATGGGTAGTGAAAAACAGGATTAACTTTGAAAATAGGAGTCCTGGTCGGCAAAGTTTGCCAATGATGGAATTTGGGGATGAGGAGGCTGAACTGGAGAAGCCATAAAATCAGAAGAGAACCTGGGTTCCAGTTTTGACCTGTAGAAAGCCCTGGGTCTACTCTCACCTTTCAAATTAGGAGAAAAAAACTAAATAGTCCCCAAAGATGCATTCCACATCGACTTTCTATGAGTCTGTCTATTTTATTTCTCTCCCCCAAAGTGGAAGGACCCTCATCTGTCAAGTGAGGAGATGAATCTCCCTCCTGCTCAGAGACACCGTCACGCCCCTAGAGATCAGTCTTTGTTCCTTCCATAAACAATTTTCCAGGTCCTTCCCTTTAATCAGGAAGGTGGAAGAAAGCAGGATGGCAGGAAGGCTGGAAGCTGGAGAAGCTGGAGGAGAAGAGGGAAAGTGGTAGAGGGTTTGAAATTAAAGCTGAGCGGCAGAGATCACCGTACTGAGCCTGGTCAGGCAAACCACAAGTGAACCTCATATTCATTGTTGTTTTTTCCTCCCAGAATGTTTGGTTTAGGGCTGAGTACACAGCAGGTGCTTAATAAATGCCTATTGATGAATCAGTCCCAAGAATTCATGTAACCTTAATGAAGTGTGAGGTTAATTAAACTGATAATTAATTAAACTGATAATCACTCACTGCACAAGCATTCCTTGGCACACCAAGTGCTGGGCGTTCTAGGACGCATAAGACGGTCCTGCCCCCAGGGGTGCGTGGTAAGAAAGCAACTCCCCGCTGACCAGCAAAGGCTCTGATGGGGGCAGCACAGAGCTGTGGGAACCTGGGGGGACCTGGGATCCAGAAGGGGTCCTGGAAAATGGACGGGTTTTTTCAGCTGGACCTGCAAGTACCTGTTCACCTCTCCCACTCATCTCTCAACACCCCTCCCTTCCCCTTGCCTACAGGCAAACCGAGGAAGAGCAATGATTGGAACAGTGCAGGAATACGCTTACTATGCACCACTCTGCATCTATCAACTCATTGAAATCCTCACAATAACCCACAAGTAGTTATTATCCTCCCCCTTTTAACTGATGAGGAAGCTGAGGAACTGGGAGGTGAAGGCCACACAGCGAATGAATGAATGAATGGGAGAGCAGTCAGACCCAGACGGTCCAGTTTCAGAGTCTGTGCTTTTAACTGCAAAGCCCTCACCCTTGAATTGAAAAGCTTTCCCTTACTAATAGACTGTCTTCTTTTCTTGCCTTCAACCCTTGATGTAGGAATTCTGCAGCCTGGACACCTCCTGGCACCCTTTCATCTGGCTCATTCTGTGCATCCTTTAAGCAAGAAGTTCTGCTGGGCCCAGAGCGTGACCTGCATGACAGCAGCCACTCTAGGCCCTCCCCTGATCCGGCACCAGGCCCCTGTCTGTCCCCAGCTGAGTCCAAGGGCCTCAGATTATGGATTCACAGGGAGTCTGGCCCTGAAGAGCCTGAAGTTCACAGAGTGTAAGTCCGCACCCTGCTGCCCCAGCTCTGCCCACTTTACAGATGAAGAGACAGAAGCCCAGGGAAGTGAAAGGCCCCATAGCAACCCCTTAGTGGGCCTAGCATTTCACCTGTCATGGGAGGCTACTGGGACAGAGAAAGCAGAGAAGAGGAAGAAGCGGTAGGGAATGGAGGTGGGAGGAAAGTGGAGCGGGGAGGGGACAAAGGTCATCACTTCACTGACAGGAAATACTAGGTTGTGCTTGGTCCTGGTGGCTGGTGATGTTGGTGGTTGAGAGAGCAAGGTGTGTGCCTGTGTGTGTGTGTGTAATGCGTGTGTGTGTGTGTGTGTGTGTGTGTGTGCGCGCATGCACATTTTCTCCTCCCCCTACCTCCTACTCCCACAAAATAACCCTGAGGAGTGAACTCCTTGGGAGGGCCAGCTGTTTGTCCCCGTAGTCTGGGTCCTGGTGGGCACCTGGCATGTAGCAGCAGGGCTCAGGCTGGATCTAGTCCCCACTCCACCACTAACTTGTCAGGTGACATTCAGTGAGTGAGTCCCTGGACTTTTCTGAAAAGTAGGACTAAGAGTGCCCAGTGACGTGGCAGGATTTCCGCACAGAGCAAGGGTCAAGAAGGAATGTGACCACAGATCGGGCACCGCCCACCACTGACACACACTGTCTCACTTAGTCCTCACAGCAGCCCCTGGAAGGAAGACATGCTGCGCCTATTTCACAGGTGGGGAAACAGAGGGTCTGAGTGTCAGGGACTTGCCAAAGGGCCCCCAGTGAGGTGGAAGTGGGAAGACTCAACTCAGGCCTGTCCAACTCCAGAGCTGCAGCTTTGCCCACGACCCCCGCGCCCTCCAGAGCGTGGCGTGCCTTCCCACCGCGGCATTCGCTAGGTGTTGGTTTAATTCATTCAGTGATACAGGGTATGACGGAGACAAAGGGCTCTGCGATGGAAATGTTCCATGAGAGTTGTCCCAGCGGCTCCAGTGAAACGGCGTTTACTCAACCAACAGTCAGAGGCCGAGGTCTAGCTCTGGTTCTGACCCTTCAGGTGAGCAGGGCTCAGCCAAGCCTCTCTCAGGAAGGCGGCGGGAAGAGCAACGACACCCAGTATGGGAGCCCCACGCCTGGGATTGGGCTCGCAGTGAGGATTAGAGGAACTGGCATGAAGTGCCTCACGGACGACCAGGCACCTGCAATGTGCTCGATTAGTGCTAGCTCCTCCCCTTACTACTGGCACTTATTTAGTGCTTTCTGTATACCAGACACCATCCTAACTGTCTTATGGATATTAACTCCTTTAGTCTTCACAACAACCCTTTGAGATAAAGGAACTAGGCACAGAGAGGTTATGTGACTTCCCCAAGGTCACACGGCAACATGTGAAGGAGCTGGGATTCAGCCCCAGGCAGCGTAGCTCCAGAGACAGTGCTCTCACACGGCCTGCCACAGGGCCACACGGGAGCTCCTCTGACCGCGCACATAGTGGCCGGGGAGTGAGGATAGTTTGGCCTCACAGAGGTCATGACCGGGGTTTGAGGCAGCAGAGGGGTGGCCTACCAACAGCTGTCCCCCCAGCAAGCAGAGTCTTGAGGAAACCCAAGCCCTGCCACCCTTACTGCCACCCCTTCCCAAGCTGTGTGGCAACAGGACTTCGCTCTACTCCCAGAAGCAGGTGCTTCGACAGCTCGGCAGCGAGAACCGTGGTCCCAGCCAGATGTGTGCAACCAGGGCTCACGTGCCCGTTCTGCGCTCAAGGTCACTGAGGCAGTTAATGGGGAAGAGTCAACAGAACCAAAGATGTCTCAGTCATCATCTTTCCAGGCCTCAGACCTGCCTGCTAGCCTTAGAACGGGGTGGGCTGGGGAGGAGGACCAAGCTGAGGGCTACGACTGGGGAAGTGACCCCCAGCTGCACCCTGTGGGGCTGTGATCCGGACTGTCCCTATGTGACTGACAGGCCCTCGGGCAAGACTGTGCCTCAGTCCCCTAATGGTAAAGTGGGGTGACAATGCCTGTCTCGTGCTGCCTTGAAGAAGGATGAATTGTGTGTGTCAAGGGACAAATACATTGGCAGGGAAAGGGAGGAAGTGGATTGGGGAGATGGACTCCAGAGCCACATCTGCCATGAATTGGCTGTTGGACTTTGGGTAAGCCGTTTTACTTCCCTGAGACTCCGCATCCACGTCTGTGAAATGCACATTAATTGTCGCGGGTGATCAGAACTCTGAGTTCTCCCAGGTACAAAGCTGGGCCTTCCAGCATTTCCCTTTCCTGAGTGGGACAAGGGAGCAGGTACAGGCCTGGGACTTGTCTGGACCCAGACTCAAAGCCCCCTCTGCTATCTCCTGGCTGTGTGACCTTGAGGCTCCTCTTCCCGAACTCAGCACAGCATTTGTTCCTCACAGCAGCCCCGTAAGACGAACAAGGTAACCCCATCTCACCGATGTGGAAAATGACAGTTGGAGACCCAGCCCTAGACCTTACATAGCTCATGGTTTAAAGAGAGAAAACAAATGTAAATCAAACATGCTATAACAAATCAGGGCAATAAAGATGATGGCCATCTTTAGATCCACAATGTAGGCACAAGGCAGGGGGCGGGAGGGAGTGGGCCAGGGAGGCCCACAGTGGGGACACTCCAAATGAGCCTTGGGAGATGGGTGCGGGGCCTCCTAGGCAGAGGGAGCAGCAGGTACAAAGGCCCTGTCCTAAGAGAAGACCACGCATTCAGGAATCAAGCTCTATGGGGCTGAGGTGTACTGAGGTTAAGGTCAGAGAACGCTGAGAGCCAGATCATGGAGGACTGTGAATGTCATACCAAGGAGTTTGGAGTTTACCTTGAGAAGCCAGTGGGCAGGCATTGAAAGGCTTTGTCAAGGAGGAAACATTCATTGAAAACCTACAGGACAGTATGGAATGTGTTAACTCTGCACCATCCAAAGATTCCTTTTTAGAAAACAGGGTCAACAGGGACAGCCCTTGAGATTCACTCAACCTCCGTGTACCTCAGTCCTCATCTGTAAAATGGGACGGTGGCCTTGCCCTGCTCTACTGCCCACAGGGGAGGTGTGCACGGGGGTTAGGCTCCCACAGGTGAAGGTACTGATGGTAAGGATACTGTCTTTTACAAACAAGGACAAAGCAGTTACATCCGATCAGCTGGGGGAACAGATCTGCTGCCAAGTTTAGTAACTGACAGATGGCTGCAAGTAAAGGGGTTGGTAAACCCAGGCGGGACCTGGGAGAGGTTATTGCAAGGACAGTGGTGGGGAGGAAGAAGGCCAGAGTGAGAATGAGAGGGAGTCAGCTACAGTGGTCGGAGCCCCAGCCATGCCTCTTACAAGCTGCTTGGCTTTGGGCAAGTCACTTCCTCTCCCTAAAACTCAATCTCCTCATCTGAAAAAACCAGGGGGGCAATTGTGCTTAATCACGGCATTGTAAGAATATGAACTCTGAAAATAAAACCCGTATTTATTTGCACAGCACTTGATAGTTTACAAAGCAGATTACCTGCCTCATCTTCTCACATCCCCGTGGAGGAGGGGACATCTGTTGAGTGCCTGCTGTGTGCCAGGCACAGGACTGGGTGTGTTGTTTACATGCATCTCATGCCAGCTCCATAACAGCCTTCCTAGGTAGTATTGTTGTCCTAGTGTCACATGTGAGGAAACTGAAGTCACGCTGCCAGGAAGTGGCACAGCCAGTATTTGACCTCAAGATTATCTGATTCCCAAAGCCCAGACGCTTCCACAGCAGCCTGCTGCCTCTCTCAAGTTCCATACCCTCCACAGGCACTGCATGTCCCTGGGACCTCAGGCTCACTTTGTCATTAAAATGAGATTAATTGCTTAACTTCTCCAAACTTCATTTTGCTCATATGTAAAATACAATTAGTTAACAGTTAGTTAATCTTAGTTCCTGTGACACAGAAAATCAATATAATTAAATACATCAAATTAATAAAAATTAATTAATTAATTAAAATATGCAAAGTACTTGGAAGAGTGCTTCGCACGTACTTAATATCATACATCTTACGTGTAACACACCCACTAGCTAAGTAAAAATGAAAAATTTTTGGCAACAATTGCTAGGGTCAGTGTAAAGTTGCATGTTTTGGAGAGAAATTTGGAAACACCTAGTAAAGGTAAAGACACACATATCCCCAGGACACAGCAATTACATTGTTAGATTATACACCCTGGAAAAGTATTTGCACGTGTGCACGTGGCAACATGTGTAAGAATGTTTGTAGCAGCATTATTTGCAGGAAAAAATACTGTAAGCAACTTAATTATCTATCATCAGGAAAATAGATAAGTAAGTTGAGCCATAAACAGACAAGAATACAACACAGTGGTGAAAGGCAGGCGAACTACAGCTGTACTCACCAACCTATGTCCTGGGTGGAAAGCAAGTCACAAGGCATACAGAATGATACCATTTTTATAAAGTTCAAAAACATGCAAAATTAAAAAATACATTGTTTGGGGATGTACATACACACTAAAACCATAAAGAAGGATAAAGAATGACAAACAAAATTTAAGCTGATAGTTATCTGTGGGGGGAGGTAGGAAAGGGAACAAAGAACTAAAAGAAATAGATAACACTATGCTTCTTACACTGGCAGGTACCTGGGCATTCATTATATTATTTTTATATCTTATTCATTAAATATATTTATATTGCTGATGATAGCTGATGAGTTAAATATACATTTTGTATGATTAAACATTTAATAATAAAAATATAATTACAAAGAGAAATACTTGAAAAGAGAAATTATGTCTTATTTACCTCTGGTTGTCTAATGCCGAGCACACTTACGGCAGGTATTTCAAAAGTTGTGTGTTAAGTGAATGATTGAATGAATGAGTCAACAGGCAATTTTCAGTCCTTACGTCCCATTTCACAGCCCTTCTACCGACATACACATTCACCTGGGCCCAGAGTTCTTGCTGTTGTAAACCACTGGAGACAAGTAAAACTAGGGAGTGCAGATGACTCTGTTTGGCTCATGCTCAGCATAGCACTGAGAACTTCACTCAGCCCTACATGCTCATTTATCCTCCATTCATTCACCCATTCATCCATACATACATCTAGTCGATACATGTTTATTGAAATAAAACCTAATGGAGATCAGGTGTAACCTTTTAAGAGGAGTGAGGTAAATTCCCATCTGAGATAATAACTCTGCAAGTGACCACACTGTCCCAGAGATCATCACAGTGCCCCGGTTGTGGGGGAGGGTAGGTATAGGACACCCTTGAGATCCTGCAACTCACCTTGGCACACAAACGAAGAGGGCGTTTCCCCTGGGTGGACTCGTCCTGTGATGAATACCACCTTCTGCTCTGCCCCTTCCCGGAGATTGTCTGTAAGATAAAATGGAGAAAGGTGGCTAAGGAGGATGAGGAAAGCTGAGACTGGGGGTTGCTGCGTGGGAGGGAGCCCTACAGGGAATGGGCTGGATGCTTTACCTTCATCTGTTAAGACGTTGGGTTAGAATCCTTAAGGACCAGCCTTTGCTGACTAATTAAATTACGTCCCAATATTTAATACCCAATATTAAAAGACTATATTCTCTTTTTTTGGTGCAACTGATCATATTATATTAATATGTAATATTTACAGTCATCTGAGGAAGTCACGTGAGTGAAGTTGAATCCCAGATCCGCTGACCATGACCCTAAGCAAGTTGTGTATCCTTTCTAAGTCTCAATTTTCTAATCTATAAATGGAGATAATAATACCTACTTCATAGAATTGTTGTGAAGATTAAACAAGCTTACACATTGTATAGTACACAGTAAGCATTCAGTAGATGATGGAGCAAAGAAGGTAGCTATTTATATCAGTAACAGCAGCAGCTTCCATTTAATTAGCTCCTTTTGTGTCCGGCACATTACAGACATATATGTAATCCTGACAGCAGCACGCTGTTAATACTCCTTTTGTAGAGGCAGAAACTGAGACTCAGAGGGTTATATAACTTGTTCAAGGTCACATGGGTGGTGGTAGGAGCTGAGATTAGGACACGGGCCCTAGCCTGGCCTTGATGAAGTATTGTAGCAGGGACAAGATTTCCCTTTTACCTTAAACAACTAGAAAATTGGACAAAATATATAAAACAACTATTTTCAGACATTGGATAAGAGGCAGTGCAAGATAACCCAAGAGAGAAGGAAAACGCATGAGGTACGCCCTGTGATTGCCCTGGCTTTTTGCCTGATGCTCCATTCCAGACCAAAGAGCAGGGAGGGAAATCCTGAGCAAGGCATGGGAGTCTCACTGAGATTGAAGTTCAGCAGGTGGTAGTTGTGGGGAAACTCTGTGAGTTCCAGAGAGGATGGAGCTCTGTAGAAAATAGTTCCAGAAATCTGTAAAGGAGTTTTCTTGAGTCTTTGTTGGATCCTAAGATGTGCATGCATAGGGTAAATCTCCATGCTGTCAGGAAAAAATGACCAGGGAGCTTTGAACTACACAGTTCTCAGGGGTCACACAGGACTAGGAATGATTAAATCCCGACCCCCATAAAACAAAACAAAACAAAACAAAAAGCTGGGTACTGTGTCTCATGCCTGTAATCTTAGCACTTTGGGAGGCCAAGGCAGGAGAATTGTTGAGGCCAGGAATTTGAGATCAGCCTGGACAACATAGTCAGACCCTATCTCTACAAAAAATAAAAATAAATATTAATAAATAAAAGACAAAAGAAAAAATAAATTCCCACTACGAAAGTGGAAGTCCTCACCGATCATTCAGGAAGAATGAGAATTCAGAAGGGCCATGTCTTAGTGGTGGGACTAAACTACTCCAGACCCACTTTAACAAAGCTTTAAAATAAGTCTTAAAAGAATCAAACTGAACAAAAGAAACTTAGCTACTTGCTGTACAAAGCCCAACTCTCTTTAAAGGAAGACAACAAAATTCAGACAGTCAGCAATGTATAATAAGCAATATCCAGCAACCAATAAAAAAATTATTAGACATGCAGAAAAGCAGGAAAATATGCCACAAATCAGAACCCAAGCTCTTTCTGTCTCCACGGAAGTCTAACTTGTATAATAAAGTTTAGCTACTATGCAAAGATATTATTAGCAAAAGCCATAGCCTAGAGTGACATTCCCAGAAAGAAGGGGCAGGAGAAAGACACTCAGCCATGGGCAGAAGAAAGACTGATTGACACAGAAAAGAACAGTGACCTGAAGGAAATTTAGGAAGGAACACTGAGAGCAGTTGGATTAAAGGATTCCATCTATGTTGGAGAATAATCTGGAGGGAGAAGGTGAAGAAACGATTGACAGGCTTTCTCCTTCTGAAATGCTGAAGACAGGTCATTTTTAACACGGTTCATCGTCCCAACAGTTGATGCAACAATATTAGAGATGAAAATAAAAAATATAAATTCTATTAAACCTGGTTTTAAAGGCTTGGGATGTGCTTGGTCCATTGGGGTGACCAGTAAGGATTGGGGTCACTGCTTCCCCTAAAAGGCAACAATAAATATAATAGAACCAAAATATACACTTGAGAACTCACTCTGTGCTCACGTCTATGCTAGGCACCTTTAGGAACAAAGGGAGAGGGAGAAGGCTCACCTGCCCTGAAGAAGTCTATGGTTTAAAAGAGGAGTTAGACATCTGTATGTTTCCTGGACTGAATACAAGCTCTTCAAGGAGCTGCGACTTCCATGGGTGTGTTTCTAATGTCTTTCCCAGGACCCTGCATGGAATAGGAGCTCAGCAAGTGACTATTGAATTAATAAATAAAAATACCTGTATAGATCATGGCTTATAAAGAAAATTTAGACACATATTATCTTAGTTAATCATTATCATGCCTCTGTGAGGTGGACAGTATTAACCCCATTTCACAGGTGAGGGAACTGAGGCTCGCAGAAGGAAGAGACACGCCCAGGGTCACACAGCCAGCAGTGGCAGAGTCGAGCCCGGCACCCAGCCGGGGTCCCTTTCACTGTCTCATTCCGGATCCACGAACAACAAAATCCCACATATGCTGCACTTCTACCTACAATGTACACAAGAGAGTTTTTTTTCAACTCTTATTGTGAGGACAACTGAACTACTGTCTCAGTATTTACATTGCTTTTTCGCTTTAAAAAAAAAAAAAAACCGCATCACCAAATCCTTTTAAAAAACACTGTCTAACACTGACCCCATCTATTCCAGCAGTCCAGAAATGATAAACGGCATTGGTGAAGGCTGACTTTATGGATGTCTCCCCTGACCCAGTATCAACTCAATTGCATTCAGCATTTCTGCTGACCACAGGGAAATGCAAAATGGGCATTCTATTTGCACACTAATTTTACTGAGCCCCTGCGTCTTCATAAAATGATAACGTGGGGCTAATAAAAATCAAGCATCTCGGGTGCTAATATAAGCAAATGTTGATGCAGGCAGGTAACAAATTGCTTTGTCATTTAGGAGGCCATAAAAGAGCATTATAATCATCTTTAGGCAAAATGGATGGGTCGCCTTTGCTTAGCTTTTAGCTTTCATTTGCAAAATCAATTTAAGGTAATGTAGCAGCTCTGAGGTGGTGTGACATGGAACCACTCCACCCCTTCCTGTCACCAAATCCCCAGACTCTGTGCAAAGCCAATTAAACATATTCTTGGTGGAGGCAGCAGAGACGAAGAAGGAAGTGTGCTTGAACAAAGCCATGGTGGAACAGAATGCAAACAATGAGACCAAGAACAACCCGCCAAGGGCTGGTAAAACTGGAGAGCTCATGCAGGCTGACACATACAAGGGTACGAGGGCACACTCAGAAGGAACTGGGGCCACCGTACCAGGCTCCCCAATCAAACAGAAGGTGTTTGAAGTCAAATGTACTTTGTGTAGCATCCCTAATACACACACACGCTGACACCCTTTGCCATTATATCCCTTATCATCCACTATTTCCTTATCATAAAAGATTTATTGAACACCTATTAGGTGGCCAGGTGCTAGCTATTATTATTTTCATTTTGCAGAAAACCAAGGCAAAGAGAGATCAAGTAACTTGCCCTGGTTCTCACAGCTAATGACTGGCAGAGCCAGAATCCCAAGTCAGGCAATCTGATTCCAGAAATTGTGTTCCTAACCTCTATGCTATACTATCTTTTGTGAAGGAGGACAATGATATTATCCTGTTATAATAGCAACTAAGTAATATTTATTGAGTACTTATCCTGTGCCAGGCATCTTACATGCATGATCTTATTTAATTCTCACAGCAACGCAATGAAGCATCTACTATTCTTAGCTTTCCCGTATAGATCAGGAAATTGAGATCCAGAAAGGTTGAGAGACTTTCCTAAACTTGCACAAGTTGCAAATTTGGGAGCCAGGATTAAACCTAGGTCTTTATGAATCTCAAATTTATGCTCTTCACCACTGTGTCGTATTGGCTCTTGGAAATTAAATAGGGTGCTTTTGGTGGTTTTTAAAATACATCCACAACCTAACCTGGGAAACATAGAGAGACTCTGTCTCTACAAAAAAGAAAAGAAAAACATAGCCAGGCATGGTGTGTGCCTGTAGTTCCAGCTACTTGGGAGGCTGAGGCAAGAGGATCGCTTGATCTCGAGCTCAAGAGTTCAAGCTGCAGTGCATTGCACTCCAGCCTGGGCCGCAGAATGAGACCCCACCGTTGTTAATCTCCTCCCTTCAAGAGGTGAAGATGAACTCCCCTCCCCCTCAGCGTGGGCTGCATTTGATATTAACAAATGGAGTACTATGCAAGCGACGGCATGTCACTTCTGAGATTAGGCTATAAAAAGACTGCAGCTTCCTTCTTGAGTGTGCTCTCTCTCTTTTCTCTTTCTTGAATTGCTCACTCTTGGAGAAGCAAATTGCCATTTCATGAAGACACTTAGGTAGCCTGTGGAGAGGCCCACATGGTGAGGTACTGAAGTATCCAGACAACAGCCAAGAGGAACCAAGGTCTGCCAAAGCCATGTGAGTGTGTTTGGAAGGGGATCCTCCAGGCCCAGATAACTGCAGCCCTGGCTGACAGCCTACTGCAATTTCCTGAGAGACCCTGAGCCAGAAACTCCCAGCTAAGCTGCTCCCACATTTCTTATCCAGAAACAGAGAGGTAATAAATGTTTGTTGTTTTGAGATGCTAAATTCTAGAGTAATTTGTTAGGCAGCAATAGAAAACTAATAGATATCTCCCTGGAGATAACTACTTTTCCCCTAGTTGATATACAGAACTTAAGTAATTTGGCATCTTATTTATTGATGGTGACCTTCAGTGAGGACCAAAGCCATAATCTTAGTGCCAAGATGGAGAGAAAGCCTCCATCCATTTGGCCAGTAATCAGTGGATCTGTGGCTGGTGGAGGCATTAGAAGATGCCA